TCATATCGCCAGGAATTTGTCTTGCTGGCAAAATGCGTGCTATAAGAATGATGACGGACGCGTGGGCACACCGAGCGAGAGGAGACGTAGTGATAGTAAACTCCACACAACCAATATACATAATCACACAAGGAATAAAGGTACTTTGTATGGAAGGGAATAGTAAATACAGAGGAAGATTAAGAACAGGACAGGAGAACGAGGGAGGCAGTGTACCGAAGGGACGGGCAGAGTGGCGGATTCCAATAGTAGATGTAGGCGGGGGGGGTATACAGCCTAGGCGTGGCGTGGATGACAAGGAGTGCAGAGAGAAAAAGAGAAGGGAAATATGGTGCCTGCACCGCAGCACAATGGTAGAGACTGCAGATGGCGTAGGTAATTAAAACTGTCGTGGGTTCTAAGACCTCACAGAATTAACTTTCGGTGTGGCACTCGTACGCCAATGGGAACTTGGACCATGGACACGAGTACATACAGTCACACAGCTTTACAGGAGGGCAGTAGGTGGTGGGTCAATAGTGCCGTCCAACAGCAAGATTTCGTGCCCCCAAGCACCTCTAAGAGGTCGGGAGGATTCAGCGCATGGCTCGTGTAGGGCAGGTGCCTTAGCACATACTAATGCCATTTGTATGTCTGGCAAGTGTCTCTTTGATTATGCCGTCGCTTCGTACGTCCGAGTATTAGTTTGCTTGTTAAAACTTATTGTCACTATGTATCCTGAAATAAATGTAGACAAAGCATTACCGTTGAGCTCTGAAAGGTAGCCAGGGGCTGACAGTCATTCAGGGTGTGACATGCGGTGTATACAAGTGAAGAGAGTGCTAGATCTTCCAGCCTGCCAACAGCAGTGGTTGCTGTCTCTTCTTTTTCTCTAAAAGCAGGGTGGCTGGAGGGTTGCGTGAAATGCAAACAATTGAAAATATTTAGCCTCAAGTTCTCAGCTGTCTTCCAAGTTGCATAATAGGGCGACTACTGATGTACAAGATCACAATTAGACAGGCAGCGCGGGACGAAAGGAACCAGGGACGCATGAGGGCCATGCTGTTCTGCCTGGACAGAAGGTTGATGACGGCTGGAAGGGGCGACGGGTCTCCAACGACACCCTTGCTGGCCCTGATTGCCTGCCAGCAGAACCACACACACTGCCTTCGTGCTGGACACACTGCAGACTACTTTTTTCAGGACTTCATGTTCACAATACAGAGAGTTAATTAGTTCGGTTCTGATACACGGCACTAAGACTAGCATTCTGTCATCGTCACTGGCTTGTTCAGCAATTGATAATTAGCTAATGAGTTACATCAAAGTTTCTGGTAATTCAATTTCTTTGAAAAAACAAACTTAATTCTTAACAAGACACACTGTACAAAATATTCTATAACATGTTTTCCCGCTTTCAAAACTTAAGAAAACTGATGATTGCAAGTTATTAGGGATTCCCAGAATGAGTAATGTTCTTCTACTGAATTAGCTTTTACCTTATAACCGTTAACAGTATAGCCTTACTAAAAGAAGAGGAAAGCGGAGGCAAATGAAAAGGCTGTTAACAAAGCTACCCCTGATACCTTGCTGCAGACATGCGTGTTGCTCAGTAAAACGTAAATAACAACTTCAAAGTGTTAGACCATGTGCACAGAAGTGGATTCAGAGGTTGAATTAGACGGTGAAGAGAGGAGCAGAGGAGAGGAGAGTGAATAACTTATGTCTGGGGACAGAGACGCTGCCTGGTGTCTTTAGTCTGGTCTAACCGTCACCGAAAAGATTAAACAACAAAACACATGTGTTTACAATTCCCTTAGTAGCTCTTAGCTATAATTCTAAAGTTTACGGTATATCAGTTTGTTCATTCCCTTGATGGTTTTACACAACAACTTTCAAGCATCAAATGTTCAGGTTGGCAGGGAGCTGAGTTTGTTTTGAGAGTAGTGTAGAAGAGTTATACCGTGCACTTTTTATAAACCATGAGTTGTATGGAATAGTATCTTCAAAAGTGGGGCTTACAAGAAGTCAAATAACGACTGGTATGTGCACTATCGAGTGTGAACTTTTTGTCCTGCTCTGCTGTGCGTGCAGTTCCTATAGCCATGGAATGCCAAGCCTGAAGCAAACACAGCTGATCTGAGCAGGGGGTGGGATGGATTTACGCTGAGGCGCCCGCGCTCTCATGAACCGCGGCGCCCTGTGCCTCCGCCACCATCTGATGCGTCTAGTGAGCAGCGGGCTGCATGGGGGCGGCCGGGGTCAGCCGAGCAGAGGTCGGGTCGCACAGCGGTGCTGTGAGTCCGACTCTGTCCGGTCGCTGGAACAGAAAAACAAGCAGAGTGGTTGGTGTTCTCGCGTGCTCTGCTTGGTTTTGTGGTGTGGTTTGGGTGAGTTTCTGCGGTGGATGGCTCCTGACACCGTGTCTGCTCCCAGCTCGGCCGCCGTCGGCCTCGGTTCAGCCTCCTCGCTGTGCCTCGCTGTTGTTGGCTCCGGCTGTGTCTTGCCGGGAGCTCGCGGGCCGGTGCAGCCCCTGCAGGATGCCGCGTGCGGAGGCCGGGCCCGTGATGAGCACGCTGGGTTCTCCAACTGGGAGCATGGGCGCGATTCCCGGGAACCCGGCGCGCGGCACGGAGGTGCGGACGGCGGGAGGAGGTCAGGCATTTCCTCTCCCATAATTATGGACAAGTTGTTGATTAATTCATCCGCGATTGCTGCAGTCATTGCGCGTATACAGTTGCTCAACACCTCTGTTTCTTATACAATGTCTCTTTCTCGCTGATGTATGGTATATTTCTTCACGGATAGGTTGGGCTTAAACACTGCACACAGGAGATAACAGGACTTCTTTTCTTGACGAAATTCAATGTTTCTCTGTCCGATGACAGTGTTTGTTCGCTATTTAGACCAATTTACGCTTTACTTCTTCTCTCCATGGGAAGTACAATCAGATTGCTGTTTGATAAGAGGCTTACTGTGGGGCTATTTTTTTCAAGATTAGTTCTCCTCACACACGCTCCTAAAATTAAAAGAAGCCTTGCGAACCCCCCATAGGAAGCTTTGCGTGACCACAGGGTTGGAGGAGCCACGTGCTTTATGCGGTATCACGTTTCTGTGGTTAAAAAAACTTAAACAACCCCGGGTCTACATCAGAACAATTCTCGGAATGGTCACTGATCCTACTACGGTGCCATCAACGGTGAATGGTGAGAGTGCGGCGTGGCTCATCACAAATCCGGGGGTACGTGCGTGGTTTCTCACACCTTTGGTTTAGCACCACTTACCACCGCCTGAACATGTTTAGGCCTCTCTAAGTAGGGCTTACCACCATTATGGAGCCACATTAAAATAGAGTTTCAGTGTGGAAAGGCAGAGCTGGTCGTGGTGCCACCCGAGTGGTATGCTGTACCAGAGTATGAGGAAACAGTGACCTAAGACTGATTGCGATGGCCGTTATATATTTGGTGTATAAGATCCGATATTTTGTTTCTATTTACATTTAAAATGCTTCCTATATGTTTTAAGTTGTCAAATCTTATCTTAAAGTTGTTTGGAGGCCTTGATCAGGCCGCCGATGTTATGAGTATTTTCTTCTACTTGCCCCATTGCAGAGCACTCTCTTCCATCCCCCTCGGGAGTGTTGTCGTCGTGATGTCTGTTAGTCTGCGCTTCTGAAGGAGAGACTGAACGATCCAGGAACATGGTCTGCCCAGCTCATTGGACGGGTGAGAACACAAGTTGATTTAGGTTATCAACGAATACATCCCTTTTCCTTTTTGAGGAAATAAGCAGCAACCAGCGAACTAAATGTCTGTACAACTTACTCCAATATCAGAAACAGGCCACAGAACAGAATGTATCATAATCATGGAGCATACGAGTTGTTTGACCAAAGAGTATCTGAAGTGGCTCCTGATTAAAGAGTTCTTCTCGTTGTCGCTGCATTGTAAGTGCGTTGCTGGGCAGGTGTCCCGGTCTGGAGGAGGTGGGAGGGGACCGGTTCAGCTGGTGCCTACGGGCCCGCAGCCGTATTTCTGAGGTGGCGCAGGGGAGGCGCGGAGGGAGGGCAGAAGGCATTTGGCCCAGGGGCAATGGCCCACACGCGCTTTGGGTGTGCTGCGAAGAGGCAGGCCCACCTGGTCACTGTCGTGCTGGCTTGGCTAGACTCAGCAGAGACACAATGCAGCTATGAGGGAATACCGCGCCGGGGCCGGGGCCTGCGGAGGACGTGTACAGGGGCGTGGAAAAGTGGACAAGCAACATGTAATTTCGTGAATTGGTTGAATAAAGTACTTTTTAAAAATATAAATAAAGAAAGATAAGAAAAGACAAGAAGACTGTACAGAAGACGGGAGTGCATTAATGTAATGTATATACATAGGATGGGAGTCAGAAGAAAAAAGAAGGAAATATGTGCTGCACCAGCACAATGTAAACTGCAAGTCTAAGTTAAACTGTGTTTACTAAAACCACAAATTAACTTTGTGTGCACTGTACGCAATGGGAACTTGGACATGACACAGTACATACATACACAGTTTACAGAGGGCAGTAGGTGGGTGGGTAATAGGGGTCCAACAGCAAATTTCTGCCCCAAGACCCTCTAAGAGGTCAATTCAGCCATGCTTGTAGAGTGTTAGAATACTAATGCATTGTGTTTGCAAGTGTTTTGATATCGGTCGTACTCAGTATAGTTGTTGTTAAACTATTTATATTATCCTGAAATAAATGTAAAAAGCATTACTTACTCTGAAAAGTAGCCAGCTACAGTCATTCATGTGACATGCTGTATAATGAAGTGCTAATTCCAGCTGCCAAAGCAGTGGTTGTGTCTCTTTTTTTCTCTAAAAGAAGGGTTAGGGTTGGTGAAATGCAAACATTGAAAATATTAGCTCAAGTTTCAGCTGTCTTAATTCATAATAGGCGACTACTGAGTAAAATCAAATAGACAGCAGCCGGAGAAAGGAACAGGATGAGGCATGTTTCTGCCTGGAAGAAGATGAAAGGGTCTCCAACACCCTCTGGCTGATTGTGCCAGAGAACCACACACACTGCTTCTCTGACACACTGCAGACTATTTTCAGGACCTCATTTCACAATACAGAGAGTTAATAAGTTCTTCATACACCGCATTAGATAGCATTCTGTTCTCACTGCTTTTACAATTAATAATTAGTAATTACATCAAAGTTTCTGTATCAATTTCTTTAAAAAACAATTAATCTTAACAGACAACTGTACAAAATATTATATACATGTTTCTCCCCTTTTCAAAACTTAAAAACTGATGATTGAAGTTATTAGGGATCCACAAATATAATTTTTTACTGAATTAGTTTATACTTATAACTTAAATATAGCCTACTAAAAAGAGGAAAGAGGAAATGAAAAAGGCTTTAACAAAGCATACCTATACTTGCTGCAGAATGTGTGACTCATAAAACGTAAATAACAACTTCAAATGTAGACATGTGCACAGAAGTGGATTCAGATTGAATAGAGTGAAGAGAGAGAGAGAGAGAGAGTGAATAACTATTCTGGGGACAGAGACGCTGTGTGGTCTTAGTCTGGTCTAATTCACCAAAAATTAAAACAAAAACATGTGTTTAAATCCTTAAGTCTTATGAAATCCTAAAAGTTTATATATCAGTTTGTTCATTCCCTTGATTTTACAAACAACTTTAAGCACAAATGTTCATGCAGAGTGAGTTTTTGAGAGTATGTAGAAGATTATAAAGACTTTTAAAAACATGAGTTGTATGAATATATCTTTAAGTCTGGCTTTACAAGAAGTCAAATAACGATGTATTTCCCCATATCAGTTAACTTTGTCTGCTCTGTGTCTTGCAGTTTATAGCATGAATGCCAACCTGAAGAAACACAGTGTCTGACGGGGTGGGATGATGACTGGGAGGCGCCTGCCCTCTCATGAACCCCCCTTTCCCTCCACACCTCTTCGTTTACACCTTCAGGCCGGTCAGGTCCAGGCAGAGGTGGTGCAGCAGCGTTGTAGACTCCACTCTGTCCTCGCTGGAACAAAAACAACAATGTTTGTCTCTGTGCTCTGCTTTGTTTTGTTGTTTGGAGTTTCTCATGCCTCTGACACCGTGTCTGCTGCCCAGCTCGGGCCGCCGTCGCTCGGGTTCAGCTCCTCGGCTGTGCTCGCTGTTGTTGGCTCCGGTGTGTCTGCCGGAGCTCAGCGGGCCGGTCAGCCCCTGCAGGATCCGGTGCGAGGCCGGGCCCGTGATGAGCACGCTGGGGTTCCTCCAACTGGAGATGTCCATCCCGGGAACCGGAGAGCACGAGGTGCGGACGGCGGAGGAGGTCAGGCATTATCTCATAATTATGACAAGTTGTTATGAATTCATCCGGATTGCTGCAGTATGCGCTATAAAGTCTCAACACCTCTTTTTTATACAATTCTCTTTCTGTATTATGTATATTTTTAATAGTTTTTAACAATCACACAGACTTAACAGACTTCTTTTTTGACAAATTCAATGTTCTTGTCCATGACAGTTTGTTCTATTAGACAATTTACGTTTACTTTTCTTCATAGAAGTAAATCAAATGCTGTGATAAAGGCTTACTGTGTATATTTTTCAAGATTATTCCTACACACCTTAAAATAAAGAAGGCCTTGCGACCCCCCATGAAGCTTTGGTGACCCACAGGTTGAGAGCCACTGCTTTATGCTATCAGTTTCTGTTAAAAAAAACTAAAAGGTCTATCAGACAAGTTCTCAATGTCACTGATCTATACTGTCTATCAACAGTGAATAATTAAGTCAGGCTGTCATACAAATCCTATACAGTGTTTCTCAACCTTTTTTACACCACTTACCACCGCTGAAATGTTTAGGCTCTCTAAGTAGGCTACCACCATTATGACCAACATTAAAATAGAGTAGTGTAAGAGAGCTTGTGTGCCACCAGTGGTATGTGTACCAGAGTATGAGAACCAGTGACCTAAGATATTGCGATGTATATATTGTGTATAAATGATATTGTTTTATTACATTTAAAATGTTTCCTATATGTTTTAAGTTGTCAAATCTTATCTTAAAGTTGTTTTGGAGGCCTTGATCAGGCCCCCCGATGTTTATGATATTTTTTTCTACTTCCCCATTGCAGACACTCTCTTCCATCCCCCTGGGAGTGTTGTCTGTGATGTCTGTAGTCTGGCTTCTGAAGGAGAGACTGACATCCAGGAAAATTTCTGCCACAGCTCATACGGTGAGAACAAAGTGATTTAGGTTACAAAATACATCCCTTTTCCTTTTGAGAAATAAGCAGAACAGCATAAATGTCTGTACAATTACTCCAATATAAAACAGGCCACAGAACAGATTATATAATCATGGAGATAGAGGTTGTTTGACAAAATATCTGAAGTGGCTCCTATTAAAGAGTTTTCTCTTTGTCGCAGCATTTAAGATGCGTCTGGGCAGTGTGTCGACAGTGGGAGGGGACCGTCAGCTGGTGCCTACGGCCCGCAGCCGTATTCTGAGGTGGGCAGGGGGAGGCGCGGAGAGGGCAGAAGGCATTGGAGGGGCAATGGCCCACAGCGCTTTGTGGCTGCAAGAAGGAGGCACCTGTACTTGTGCTGGCTTAGACTCAGCAGAGACAAATGCAGAGAGGGGAATAGAGGACGTACAGGTGGAAAAGGGACAAGCAAAAGAAGGAGGGAAGGAAGGAAACAGGGCCCAAGGTGAATGGTACCTGGCCCTGGCTCAGGCCAAAGAGGGAAGACTGGTGCTGACTCGACTGGTGAGGTGGACCAGAAGGGACAAAGAGCTGAAGAAGTTCATCAGAGCTCTCCTTAAACAGTCCTGTCCAGAGCTGTAGACAGAGAGCTATCAACCACTGTTGTTTCTGTTCACATGCAACACTTTACAGTCATGTACACAAAATCCAGAGCAGAGTATAAAACAGATGTCCAGCTAACAAATAGTTCCCAAATAACACTTCATAAATCACGAGAGTACAGATTGTTAGATACTATGTAAAGGAACAAGTGTTTAAAGATTAGTAGATATGTGTAAATCTGCATACTGCATACTGGTCACTTCCTTGATGAATTGTTCCTGAAGAGCAATAATCAATACCCAGTCAAGTCTCCCTTTCTAAGTGACCCGTCAAGTAAAGCAGTGCATCATCGAGTTGTTCTTGGTCTTTACATCAGGATTACTTTACTCATCATGTTTGTGTCCCCTCATGTAAGTATTATTTGACCAAACTGACAACAGTGAATTCATTATTAGTTCATTCATTAAGTTAAGTTTGTGTATCTAATTGTAAATCTCACACAGGCAGTGATGGTGAGGCATTGTTACAAAAAAGTTAGTACTACACATGGCATGCAAATGTTGATATAATTCCAACTGGGGCAATATTTGTGTATTTTCTTGTTTTTTTTGTGTACATTTGTATATAAAGGATCAAAGTGTAGTTTTGGTAATGATTGCAGTGGTGTCAGCTGATCTCTGCGCACGTATTTTTATTGACACATATTTGGGCTAAAGCAGTGTAGTTATTTCTGTAATGATAAAACCTTTTTATTATACTATCTATATTATATCAACATCGTTATACTTTTATACTCACTGAGCATACATATATAAATATGATAGACCATGTAAATCTTTTATTTTTATTTTTTTTATTTTTTACCATTTTGTTTCACAGTAGTTTGATAAGTGAAAACAGAATCAAAGGACAACAATAATCACCTGTTAGGAAGCTACACTCAAGACACACTGAAAAGAACTGTGATGTGCACAATAAATCATTTCGATCTGTTTTTTAAATACTGTATTTAAATTGTGTCGAGTTACATCAGTTAATATTCAATACATTAGCTTTTTTGTGTCTGTTTGTTTTTCTTGATCTTTCCATCATGACTCAGTAAAGAAAAGAAATTTGATTCCACACAGACACACACCTGTTGATGTTAACTTGATATATCGAATGTCCGTTTCATGCTGCCTCTCTCTATCTCACTCTCTCTGCTACTATCACAGTATCGGTCCTATTGTAAATATCTAGACAAGAGGTTATCTGTACGACTGATCACTAATGACAAAAACTGATGTGTAGTGTTGTTACTGTCAGTGTCTGTTAATTGAAAAAAATGACGGGATATATACTGTCATGCAAGTGATACATGAATTATTCATAGCTCTGGGTCTCTTACCTTCTCTTAAACCCACACACACTCCGTCTTTTTGCACTGGTCTCAGCTGTAGTGCCACTTTCATATTCGTTGTCACCAGTGCTGCTGCTGCTGCTGCTGCTGCTGCTGCTTTGCCTTCACCAAACTTTTTAGGAAATAGGTGAGTATGTCTGTTTTTTTATGGGACAGTAAGAGAAACTTGTAGAGTCTACTGTTACCTGAGGCAGGAGAAACATCTCGACAGTGACAGCACTTTATCTCACATCTACCACAGGACTGAAGCATGAAATATTGTCCCTGTGTAGCTCTCATCTAGCTTAATTCCAAACAAATTTAAAATGTGTTTAATCTATGTGGAATTTTGTAATTTCAGGTATTCCATTAATAAAATAGTCACTATTGTTTTACTGTCTTAGTATTCCCAAATGTACCTTACCTTGATGTATACTTTTTCTTCTTTTGTCAGTGATCTTTCTTTAGCTTTGCCATAATTAATTCATGACATTTAACATGTAACATTATAGAAGCACCAGACTAGTTACAGAGCCTTGAGAGAGTTCTATTCAACAATTAATTTGCTCACACGGATGTTTTGCTGAAATCCTAAATGATCTTATTGCATTGGACACCTTCAGTACAAACTTTGTTGGACTTTTAATACAGAATGGTACTGTGTGCCTATGATAATTACAAACCGTAACTGACTTGAGTATCAGGAGCGGTTGGCTAAAAGGTTTTGATGAAAGGTTAGAGCAGGGTTGGGGACTAAATACTTTGGGATCTTTCTACACCTGAACATCTCAATAGCCGAAGGCAGAATGGGAATGGGATGATGAGTATAATAACATCCCACTTTTATTGATACACATGACAAAATGGGGGGGGGCGAGTTTTCAAGAAAGAGTACAAGTACATAATGACAAAATCCCGATTGCTTTCAGTTGCTTTTGTACACCACAGCACAGTTAGAGATGACACACACAGAGAGATGAATATATCTAGTAAGTTCTACTAAAATAAGTGACTAATATCTACTTGTGTGTGTTTTTCTCTGAATGAGCCAGGATGGTGTCTCCTGCTATTGCTCTGGCATTCCTTCCCCTCCTGCTGACACTGATTATCAGGTACCGCTTCTACTTTGTGCTGTTCTATCGGGCGGTCCTGGTCAGGACATGGAAGGACTGTGTTACTGGTCTGAGCCGAGAGGAGCGCGCCTACCAGCATGTTCTCACTCATGCCATTCCCGGAGACCCTGACAGCATCCTGGATGCCTTCGATGTCTGGTGCAGCAAGGTGGAGTTCATCAGCAACATTGGGCCTAAAAAAGGTGAGGAGACCCTTAAACAACAGTTGATCTGGTTATGGGCTTGGTTTTTACATGTGTGGTTCCTCTGTGTGTAGGGAAGATCCTGGACCGGCTGCTGATGGAGCAGAGCCCTCTCACAGTTCTGGAGCTGGGTGCCCACTGCGGATACAGCACCGTGCGCATCGCCCGGGCTCTGCCCCTGGGTGCCAGGCTCTACAGCATTGAGATGGACCAGAGGAATGCTGCCATTGCTGAGAAAATCATCCGCCTGGCAGGGTTTGACGATGACACGGTGAGAGAGCAGAGACATGTACCCACTCAGTGCCTTTGGATAAAAGCCCCAAATTAGCTACATACAGGCCATCAGCATTATTTGTTTGTACATAAATATGTGACATTTGTATTTCATGTATTGAATATGAAGAGTATTAAACCTTTGAGATATCAATGCTGTGTGTTCTCCAGGTGGAGCTTATTGTGAATCCATCTGATGAGGTGATCCCTCGGCTACGGTCGGACTATGGTCTAGAAAGGCTGGATTTTGTCTTCATGGACCACTGGAAGAAATGCTACACCCCTGATCTGCAGGTGACTATAATGAATCATTAGAACGGATATTTACATGGGAATTAAAATCCTGTTTGATAGTTTATTGTTGTCCCTGTCAGATGGCCGGTTTGAAGTAAAACTTTTTAATTTGTGAATGGAAACTACTAAGGGAGTAATGTGCATGCACCTGAATAAGTTATATTTGTGATCATTCCCATTGTTACCTGGTCTACTTATTTATTTATTTATATATAT